TTATGATGCAATAATAATGGTATATTTTTGCAAATACAATCAGGTGTCTTTTAGTACTCATAATCACAATAAATTTAATTACTCCTTATTTTGAAGTTTAAGTATATCATATTCTTTGTATCTTAGCTTTTAAAAATCTGGTTCTATTACTGTCTTTAATGCTGTATAGTTTTATAACCACATTTTTCCCTTAGGAATATAATAACAAATGTTTTAAGCTTTTAATTTTTTATATTCTTGTCTTAATACTCTAAGAAAACTAAAGAATGTATTACCTACCCATGTATCTGAAAAGTAACAGTGTTTATAGCTCAGGTAGATCAGCTCCTTTATTAGTTTATTGTAACAAAGTATGAAATTTCTCATGTATGAATAAATTAGACAAACTTAGGTTGAATAATTAATGTATGTTATGAACTTAGCACTTATACAACAGCTATGGCTCAATTCTGAGTTTTAAGAGCCTTTTTCCTTGTATTCCCAAGTGTGTGGGAAGAATATATAAAAATATTGAATCTGACACCAAGAGTGGCTAGGAAAGTTATAGTAAATATAATTGTACTATTCATTTTGAGCAAGATGAACATGTACCCCATTGTTCTTTCAGGAATTCACATTACCTGTGCTCTTTTGTATCTATCACATACAAATCTCCATCTTTCTGGAAAACTCATCTTTTTTCTCTTTCTGATATTGATAGATCCATGTTATATTTATCCTTTTGAGAAAGGATTACTGAACCTAAGGCCTTGGCTTTAATAGGCAGTCTCTACTGCTGACCTCCTTCCAACCTGATTTGCTCATCAGTACATTCATGATGTACCATTTTTGCATACTTTCTTTGGATGCAAACATTTACAGTTAGGTTGTGTTTAAATACAGTGTAGCCACCATTGCTTGCCCCCTCACATGTTCACACAAACACTTACACATGCATGAACACACAGTGTTAAACTATTAAAAGAGGGAACACCCAAAGAAATATAAACTTGTCCATGTCTATTTGAAGTAATAGATTGCCCCTGTATTCACTGGGTAAAATCGCTGTTGTTACTTTCAGACTTTCCTTGACTTATTCTAAAGTACATAACACAACACTATATGACTACAATTTTAATATTATTGCTATTGGAAAGTCAGACATTCTAATATGTACTCTTTAATTTCTTCATTTTTGTTTTTGTTATATCACTATCACATGATAGTTTTACTCATGCATTGATCTCCATCAAAGTTTCTTCTACACTTGTCCCATAGCACTGGCTCCTCTCCAGCCATAAAAATTCCTCTTCTACTTTAAAGTCATTTCTTTTTTGGTTTCTACTCACAAGATAACAGGTAGCATTTGTGACACTTGTCTTTCTGTGCTTAGCTTATTCCCACCAGTGGTACACAAGGATTCTTCTCCTTCAGGTCCTCGACAGTATCTGTCTTATCATAGCCATTCTGACTTGGTTGAGATTGTCTCTCATTTTAATTTGAATTTCCCTGATAGCTCACATTGCAAAGTTTGTTCATGTATTGACTATTTGCATTTCTTTTAAAGTGTGTCTGTTGTGGCTGTTTTAATTGCAATCCTTAATTTCCAGTGTTAGGACCATTTACATTTTTTACACGTCTTGGTTATTAGCTGACAGCTGGCAGGGATTTTCTCCCTCTGTGTACTCTGCCTGTTCACTCTGTGATTGCTCTTTCCCATAAGGTTACTGAGTTTGGTGTGATCCCACACGCCAGCCTTGTTTTGCTTACTGGGATCTTGGAATCTCATCAAGAAAATCATTGCTTCTACCAATATCCGGAAGTTGTTTCCTATTTTTCTTAAACATTCTCTGTTTCAAGTCTCTTGTTCAAGTTTTTGGTTCATTTATAGTTGATTTTTATTCAGGGTGAAGGATGAGTCAAGTTTTATCTTTTGCATGTAGGTGTCCAGTTTTCCCAGTCCCCTTATTAGATGCCGGCCTTTTGCTAGTGTGGGCCTTTGTCACCTTTGTGGACTATCACTTAGCTGTGGACATGAGTTTTATTTCTAGATTCTCTACTCATTCCACTCGTCTGCACATCTTTTGTTGCTCTTTTAATGTCAGTTCAATGTTCTTTTGCCATGGGTCTGAAGTTTTGTTTTTTTAATATTTTATTAATCTTTGAGAATTCTGTACATGTATTTTGGACATATTCACCCTATCATCTCCTTCCCACCCTCTTTACCTTAACCGAGGTCCTAACACCTCTTTTCATGAATACATTCCACTGTATCTATTATTGTTAGGGTTGTTGTCCAGGACTTTTCTTATTTCCCCACTACCCTTCCTGTCCCTCACCTTTGATTCTTTTCCTCTTTCATGTCATGTGTCTTTTGCCCACCAATCCTCCCTGAATCCTTCTCATAACCCAGTGGTCTTTGCTCTTGGTCTCCTTTCTAGACATTTAGATTTTACTCCTGTTTGTATATATACTTAAACTGTTTAGGATTCATTTCTTTTAACTCTAATATTTATGTTGCTTTCTTTTTGCTTCTCCCAATCTGGGTTTTCCTTGTCCTTCATTTTCTGAGAACTTAGATTGTTTATTTGAAGTAAGGAATATTTTATGATTTGCTTGTGGTCTGTCCCTCTCTTTTTCCCAATACAGTGGTCACTTATTTGGACCAGTTTCCCCACCTCACTAGACTACTCATTTCTACTTTGTTTCATTTCATCTTTTCTTTTTATATGATACCTTATGGTTTTAATTAATTTCTGGAATATCTGGAAAATCAAACTGTTTTTAAAAATAACTGCAGAAAGTCACATTTACCTAAAAGAATATCCTGGCTTCCCCCTCTCTTCTTGTAGGTAACCAGCTGCATTGATTTTGATACCTTTACTGTACTTTCTTTTATAAAGCTGATTCTGTACTTCTTTTCCCTGCCCCTTTCTTTCTTATTGGGGAGGTAGCAGACAAGTGATCCTTTTCATTCTTTTTCCCCACTTAACATTACCTCCAAGTAATTCCTACACTTTGTTTACAGAGATGCTTACTATTCAATATTGTATATGTCCTAGTTTGTTTAACCTAGTCCCCATCACTGAGCTTTAACTATATTGTAATTATGACACTAATTATGTATGTATACATTGCCACTGTCATATTATTTATGTGCATTGAAATAAAAGCACAATCATAACAGCATAACTAGAAGTTAAGACAAATGTTAATAATGTTTATGAATTAAGGACACACATTAGATGATATCCACTAGATGTTTTCTCACATTATAGTAACCTAGCAAATTGGGGAAATGCTGTTGTGTACATGTTACAAATTTGAAATGTAGGCATCTGTTCTATTTATCGCACTGAATGTATTTTATGCAGATGAATCTGAAGAGCCAGATAAAATGTTTAGCAAAGACGATATAAGGTCAAAGGTACAAAAAGGTTCTAAGACTGGGAAACTATATAGTAAGTATGAGAATTATCTATGATATTATGTCATCTTGAATTAAACTCATTACATCATTTTTCTTTATCCAGGAAAATTTGACATCTATCTTATGGAAATTTTTGTTTTGTCCTAAAATACCTTAAGATAACTAGACAATAGTGACAAAGAGTTTATACCCTTTGCCTGGTATTTCTGATTCTGTAGTTATTTCATTGATAAAACTCCTATTGATCAAGGCCCTGAAACAGGCCAGTAATCCACATCATTAACTATCATCCTACCTTCTGGCCCCTGTCTACAGATTATATATATTAAAAAACTACAGCAAGTGCCTCTTCCCTTTGCTAATAATCCCCTGCCACAATCTCCAATAATCAGACAGAGATGAGTGATGGAGCTTTCATTTGGCACAGGAATTGGAACTGTGTCACTTTTGGAGCATCATTTGACTCACATGTGGGCCTTGAGTTCTCTGGTAGACAGTCTATCAGTGTGCTGCCTTGAGACTTCACTGTACCCCCATACATTATGTCCAGAAAGGCTTTGCATGTTTGTCCAGTATAAGCACCAATTACCTCTTACTACATTGTGTTCATTACTAGTTAGTAGCTTCTGTTGAATATTTCATAATTTTCTAGTTAATAGCCAGATTGTGTCATGTGCAATGACCTGACTTTATGAGGTGCTTTGTGCCTTTCCTGAGGGTGACATAAAGCAAAGTGGCCTCTGTTTCATTTTGTAGTTAACCATGTGTACTGCCTTTTAATATTTCTTATGTTTCATTTGGTAAGGAAAACTATGTGTGATTTTTCTCTTTTACCTTCACTGTTTACCTTTCCTCCAGCTTAAAAGGCAGTGTACAAGCCCATTCCTCCGGGTATAGTCTCCCAATACAGAGAACTTTTCCAATCCTTTTTCAGCTCTATGTACAGCTGTTTTATCATAATGTACATTGACTGTAGTACATAATATGTTCTAGCCTTAAGATAATGTATGATGTGCTTACTCAAACTCATTTTTCATGATTGAGCATTTTTATTTTGATTTTCAATTACAGACAATGAAATAATGAGTAAATCTTCACATTCATTTTCATTATTTTGCCTTTGAAACCTATGTGATCTGTAATATGTAAGCAGCTTTAAAAAAGTAGAGGGGCTGGAGAGATGACTCTGCAGTTAAAAGTGCTTGTAGCTCTTCCAAAGGACCTGAAATCATTTCCCAGCTCCCGTATCTAGTGGCTCACAACTACTTATAACTTGAGCTCCTGGGTATCCAATGCTGTATTATGGCATTAAGGCACTGGGACACACCAATACACTTAAAAATACATCCAAAAGTAAGAACAGTAAATACTAACTGTATTATCCCCATAAAATATAAAATGATGAAGTTTAGCAGATATTCATCAAAACTCTCCATTGTGTTGTCAGGTCAACCACTATGGTCATTTATTTATAACTCTGTAAAAATAGCAGAGAATAACACTGAATTTGGTTGAAATATAAAACAGAGATTTTAAAATAGTTCATTTTATGCTTAGCACAGTTACTATTTCTCTCTGTTTATAGCTCATGAGGAGCAATCAGACAGAGTGGTCTATGAAGACTCAACAAAAGCCAAAATTTCAGCAAAGAAACAAGACTCTACTAAAGAAAAAAGACTTGCTTGTGAGCATAAAAACTACTAGTTAATTTACATTTTAGTTTTAGAATGCGGCCATCTAAGGCCGGTCCTCCTGCCTCAGCTTCAGAATGCTGAAATCACATATATGCACTGTAGTGCTCTATAGACTAGAATTATCTCCATTACATCCAAAAATCTGATCTTTGGTTCAAGAATCTATATTTTACCACATATGTTATGGGAATGTTCCATTTGGCAATAACTGCCAAACAAAAGCCAGGGTATGCATTACTTTTATTTAGTAGTTCTAGATGATTACATGCTGTCTAGGAATGTGTGATCCTTTTCACCAGCTCCAGGAAGTTAGAGGTCTAAAAGCCAGTTCATCCCACTAACCTGAGCAGTGAACTTATTCCATATGCTTCCAGTGTTGAGCATAACTGTTGCTGGAATTGTAAGTTAAGTGTAGTTTAGAGGGGCTGATGAGGATTGTGATCAGTGGCCATGGTGGCCTCTCAGATGACCTCCAAGGCAATCTGTAGGTTCAGACTCACTCAAAAATTGAGATTCATAGATTACTTATGGTGGCATCCAACTGATGGGAATGAGGCTTCCCAGCAGAAGAGACCCACAAATTACACCACTTCTTTTATACTTGTTGGGGCCAAGACAGACCAAAGTTTGACATTTAGCTACGCCAGAATGAGACTCCATGCTCCCTCTAACTTTGGCAAAGAATTTCACTTAAATATTTGGTCAATGCATCTTATCTGTATTAATGTACCAATCACAATGTATAGTCAGCAGAATGTGGATTCTGTTAGCTAGTACCCTCCCCTAGACCTGCCATTGAGCTGTCACAGTCTACTGGCAGAAGTGGTCACTTTCATACGTGGAGTTAACAAAACTTCTTCCCCTAGGCAGAAGAAACTGTTCAGGTTTCTTTATCTCTGCAGATCAATGGTGACTAAACTGGAGAGACTTGCATTCTTTATTTTAAAAAATAAAAGAAGAAGTAATAATGAAAATTTGAACTTTGGGATTTCAAACTTAAGTACTTTTGGAGACAAAGTCTCATCTATCCCAGGCTGGTATTCAACTGGTTGTGTAATCAAAGATGACCTTGAATCCCCCAGTATCTACCTCTGAGTACTGGAGTTCTAGGCATATGTCACCACCCAGTTTCAAACCCTTTTTTATGCAGTGAACTAAATTTATCTGTTTTATGCAGCCCCTGATGCAGATGTTGATGGAGCACTCAGCCCCAACAGTCCAGGCTCGGTGTCAAAAGCAGACATTCAAACAAAGGAGCAGAGAATTCACAAAAGAGAAAGACCCACTGGTGAGTATCAATATTTCCAGTAGCTTTCTTCTCCTTTAGCTTCTCTGGATGGTCTCTCACTTGATTCATGAAGGTGCATATAAGCATATATTCATGGAAAACGTTTCCCTCTGCTCAAATGTTAATTCCCTAACTAAAGAAAGAATTAATATTAGAACTATATAGGTCAGACTGACCTTCAACTTGAGCCCCCTTCCTCATCCTCCCAAGTAGAAATTCTGTCTCTAAGATTATTTAATGGCTGCAAATTATGCTAGTCTTTGAGTCCTATAGATTCCCAAAGTAGTGTCCCTTTCAGAGTTATGGTGTGTCCCTTTGGAGTTTTGTGTTAGCACAAGAGTATATTCCCATAGTAGAATTTAGCCAAAGTTGTTATTTCCTGGTGACCTCAGAAGCAGAACATGAGAACATCATCTCATCCCTAACTATCCTGTAAAACCAACACTCACACGCACACACACAGTTCCTAGAGGTTGTGGTGTCTCGGACCTGGGGAGTGTTGGCCTACTGCCATAGGCTCCAGTCACAAATACATACACTATTGAGATGAGCAAGCTAAATACAAAATATTACTGTACATCAATTGCTATAGTCTTGCAGAGGGTTTGTTTCAGCTATGTAAGCACTGGCAAGATGCTTCAGTGAATAGAGGCAGTTGCTACACAAGCCTGATGATCTAAGTTTGATCACAAATTCCATGTAAGCGGAAATGCCACAAAGTTTTTGTCTGATCTTTATATGCATATGTGTGTACATAGTAGCAATAACCAATAAAGTTAGTTTACCTAGGTAACCAGTGAAGGTGGCAGGAATAAAATTAGAAATCATATTTTGAGTATACATCTTGACATTTTGTCTTCTCTCTCCCATGACCTGGGAGAAGTGTATAGTGTCTCTGCAAAGGTTAGACTTATTTTTTTCCCAGTACATAGACATCATGTAAAACCAAATGGTACCTAGTGAGGAAGTAAGGACTCTCAGATGCTCCTCCCCTCTTTGGGTAGTGTAGCTGCCAAGGCTCTGAGGAAAGCTGTATAGTGACAAGGCTACACTGTGCCACTCCCCTACTAAGGTAAGCAAAATTCCCAACCCTCTTCCTTTATTATGGAGGCAAATAATTCAGGTCCCAAAGTCTTTGGATGGTTAGGCAAGGTGATCCTCAGGACTTTCTCACAAAAGTGCAAGTCTTTGAAACTCACTGTATCATAGGCATGCTTACAACTGGTAACTACCATTGGTGAAACCCAGTGTGCAAAGCCCTCATCACCTTAAGACCATAAGCCATAAACAAAAACTGACCCCCATGTCACCCTTTTCTTAGAGTCTCTGGGCTGGAGCTCTTGTTTGGTACATGGACATTTTGGTCATCATATCCGAAATGAAAAGGGATTATGGTCCCAGTCAAAGTTGAAAATCTTGAAAATGTGATACATAGCCATCAAGAACGCCCTGTGGGGCTGCCAACACATTTTGAGGCCAGTGGTGTAGCTAACAGAGTGTTGAGTGGGAACCCTGTCTTGCCATTGAAGCGCCTTCCCTTCTGAGCGTATCCTACAATCACCACTGTCCAAACACTGTTTCTTCTAGAAAGGCTTTGTGCATCTACCACTACTTTTTCGTGGGGTGTTACATGCTGTTCATTTCTTCTGATCTAGAGGTATGGTTGTCATAGTTATACCACAGAGAACACTGTGGCACAAGGCCCAGGAGTGGAGGGGTGTAGGTAAGTCAGCCAGTGCAGGCCAGACCACAGGCAAAGATAGAGCTTTTGAATCTGTGTCCAGCAAGGTCTTGTAGGAGTTGGAAATCACATGGGGTTCACACACAAGAGCATGGGCAGTTGGTCAGGAGCTGCTCCCTCTAGGAGGTCTTTGTGCCTAGTGAGGGCCACGAGGTAGCAAGGACTGTGAAGTGCCAAGTGACTTGTCTGGGGCCTGTGCTCATGCCAGGTGAACTCAGAAGAGTTAGACCCTGATTCACAGGGCATTCTTAGTGCTCCAAGGGGACAGAGCAAGAGGGCATCCATGGCAGACACATGCAAATCACACACCATGGCTCAGGATGGCTGCTCTATGTTCAGAAACTTTGACAAAGATGGGTGTCAGTTTTTCAGTTGGTCTTTTAAGACAACAAACCAATCCCAAGGTAACAATTAACCATGTCTTGCTACATTATTAAACCCTGATTAAATTCTCTTTTGTGCCCCCAAAAGAGCTCCTGACAAGGGACAGACACTTTAATGCAGAAAGCAGCAGAGGGCCATGGGTACGTGGTGGGTGTCTCAGCCCTCAGTGACTAAACCAAAGGCCAAGATAGCTAAAACCCCAAGAAGCCCCAGCCCCCATAATCAGTTTGAAATTGCTCAGCACATGCCTCTGGAACAACAATATAGCCTAAAGGAATTTAGGTTTATTTCCTAACTGCCAAGCCCAGTACACAGTGCAGGCCTATGTCCAATATTATATTCTTGAGTTACTGCTTTCATTTTTTTCTTTAATATCTTAATTTCATTGTTTTCTATTTTCATTCCACCTCATATACTTACTGATTGAATTTTTTTGTATCCCAAATATATGGAACCTGAACTTTCCCCTGAAGTAAAAAAATCAATAGACAAATATACTTAGAGGAGTTTCATTTCTTCCCCAGCCCTGGCCTCTCATTTTGTAGGTAACCACCACGATCCTCCTCCTCTTTGACCTGGGCAGGTTTTGAAACGACACCCATCTCACTAGGCAGGTGGTGCAGGCCTAGCTGCCTATCACGTAGGAAATCTGAGCAGGAAGACCATTCAAGGTGATCCTGGGAACTCCGGCCCTCTCTCAAAGGAAAAGGGAAAAAGAAGGCTGGGATAGTAGCTTAGCTTTTCAGTGCTTGCCTCACAAGACACAAGACTCCAGATTTAACCCCAATACCACAAACGTAAACAAATAACCATTGCTCCTTCTCCATTTCCTAGGTATTCCTCTTCCTAAATGCAAAGCTAGTGTGCAAGCTTTCTCTGTGCCAGAGTTTGTTTGTTTGTTTTCCTGGACATTGAGCATGTGCATTTTCATTTCTGTTTCTATTGATACATTTTAGCCTAAAGGGTAGCTAGCACAAGAAAGTTAGAGACCAACAGAGAGTAGATATCTGGAAATGTAAATTGGAGCTTCAACACACAACCACTAAACATAGTTTCATGATTTTCTTGTTACATGTGATCCCGTGGTAATTCTCCTACTACTATCAAAATGAGGGAAAATTCTACTGCACACTTATTGTAACTTTGAAATCTGCAGAACTAAAAAATGTCTCTGTGTTCTAATAAGAGGTAAAATGCATTTCTTCCTCCAGTTTCTCATGAAATTCCAGGCAAAAGTTCTGGACATCAAGACTCAGAGCTAAGATTCGAAATCTGGGCAAAGAAACTAAATTTTTTCAAACTGGAGAATGGTAAGTACAAAAGTTATAGTTAACTTCAAATTTAAAGCACTAATCTCATCAAATCCTTTTCTTTAATTCACAAATATACACATGAGCATATAATTTATAGAAATGTTGTATCGTGACCTAAAGTGTGAATCATTAAAATGATTAGAAAACCAAATTGTTCTGGATTTGTTGGACATTTCTGGTCTTAAGGTCCCTTCCTGGCAGACTTATGGGCTCAGTCTTCACCAAGACTTAGCAACTGTTTAGCGGTTGCTCTTGGGCATTTATTTTCTGCAATAGTGGATGTTGTTCCATGATCCTTTCCGTAGATTCCAACTGTCAATCAAAGAGTCTGCTGACACAGGAAGGAAAACTCCAATAGAGGCTCAAGAGAAGGACTGTCTATTGAAGAGTTGCCTATTGGAGGGTTGCTGACTAGTTTTATGCCAATTTAGCATAAGCTAGAGTTATCTGAAAGGAAGAAACCTCAACTGAGAGCATGTGTCTTTACGATCAGGCTGTAAGGAATTTTCTTAGTTAATTATTGATGGGGAAGGGCCAAGTTCATTATGAGTGGTATCATTCCTAGGCTGGTGGTCCTGGGTTATAAAAGAAAGTGGACAGAGCAAGCCATAGGGAGCACACCACTAAGTAGCATCCCTCAATGACCTCTGCATCAGTTACTGACTCTAGGTTCCTGCCCTGTTTGAGTTCCTGTCCTGACTACAGTGTGGAAGTATACACCACATGAACCCTTTCCTCCCTAACTTGCTTTTGGTCGTGGTGTTTCATCATAGTAATAGTAGCCCTAAGACAGAAGGCCTCCAGGGCTTCCTGTCTGATAGCCAGATGGGTGAGCCCTCATGTAGCTAATGGAAGCTGTGAAAGTGCTCCAGAAACCAAATAGTCCCAGTGGCTGTCATTTTCTAGGATGGCAAGCTCATAACACTTGGCAGCTGTCTTCTTTGCTGTGAAATTACCTACTTATTCCTAAGTTTTCCCCCAAATTCCACATGGGTGCTATGTCTAGATCTCTGACCTGCACTAATGCTCCAGCTGTGTTTTAATAAGACTCTAGCCTTCTCTGGCATTGCCGTTGTCTGGTCTCAGAGAAGGACGTGGCCAGGACCATGATAGTCTGCTGTTTCTCAAGAGTGCTGCTTTTCCTGGGCCATCCCCTATGGAAAGATGTAACTCTTTCCACATAAAACAAACTGACCCTGATCGTCTGTGTGGACAGGAATGCTGACAAAGGTGCTTGCAAAGACATTCACTTGACACCCTCTGCCCTCAGCTTGAGTGGTAGCCACTGTTGATGGCACAGTGTCAGGCAATGCCATGGCCAGCAGCAACACTGCGAGGTCAAGTCACCAACAAGCAATTGTTACCAAGCTCCCACGATCAGCTGGGGAACACAGCTTCTTAAACCAGCAATGAGAGCAGGCATTTCTTATATCCTGGAGACAGGTGATACTGTTTCTGAGCTGTGTAAGTGTCCAGCAAGCTCACTGACATGATTCTAACTACATCAGTTCCCAGGGACCTGGGTGAAAGCAGTTAGGACCCTTCAGCCACTCCATGTCTGACAAGGACCCCATTCAATACTGGCTGCTGTGACAGTGGACAGTGGAGGGCTTGCAGACACCCACTCAGAAAAACCTTCATTCACATGTAGATGGCTCAGTCACCTGCAAGTCACCATCCAAAAGATATGAGTGAAAGTCATGTCTTTGTACCTCAAACTTCAGCTCTGTCCCAGGGTCGCCATTCCCCCACAGCAGGTCAGAAGAACACTGGCCATCTTGTAGTCTTATTTTTATTTGCTGATTATCAGGCTTAAGCCAAGAGCTTGGGTAAAATTTGACAGGGCTCATGGATTTGTTTCAGCATTCACCGGGAGAAGAAAGTACATTAGTCACAGGCACATCCACTAGGAAGACTCTAGGGGGCGTCTTTGAGCACAGAGAGGGCATGGCTCAGAAGCACGCAGTCATCCACACCATTTTTTCTATCATGTATCCTGTGTATATTTATAGCCATGTATACTTTTCATTAGATATCTGCTAAACATCAGTCACTCAGTTTCTTGTGCCGGAAAACAGGGGTGGTCTTAAATATTTTCAGTGACAAAAAATACCTGGGACACATTATTGTGGGAGAGGGGTGCCCCACTAAGCCCATAGTGTGTGGCTGTGATAACTAGGATGTAAGTAAGCATGTTCCCAAGACATTTCAGCATCTCTCCCCAAATGTGGGTGCATCGTGACCAACTATCTCAAGCATCTGCTGCCTTGATTTACCTACCAAAATGAACTATACCCTTGAGCTGGGAGCCAGAATAAGCCTTTATCCCTGAATCTGCCTTTACCAGAGTATGTCATCACATCAACAGGAAAAGGAACCAGGACACCAGCCTATCCCCTGGTGTCCAGGCTACACTCACTCCCTAGTTACTTATGTGGGGTTTTGCTTCACTTCTGCAGTTTGTTTGCAGTTTAGTCCTTACTCCTCCTCATCAATTTAGTTTTATTTTTTGAATGCAGTGTGCAGTCACCCAGGTGCCCTAAGAGGACTGTCCTTCCTTCCACAGTCCTTACATTCTTACTGTTCTTTCAGGTAGCCAACTACAGTGTTCTCTGCTTGTCCTTTGGTCCAAAGATTATCACACTAGATACCATATTTGTAGGGGTTTTCTCCCTTTTGTTGATTCTTCTCTCATACAATACATCTTTACCACAGCTTCCTCTCTCTCTGTTCCTCCTAGACCCCCCCTCAATTACTTCCCTTCACTCCCAGATGCACTGTTCTTCCACCTCCCCTAAGAAAAGAGCTGTCCTCCCAGGAATATCAATCAAACAAGGCATAACAAGAAGCAATAAGACGAGGCACAAACACTTATATGGAGGTTGGACAAGGCAACCCAGTAAGAGAAAAAAGGGTCCCAAGAGCAGGCTATATATATATGCATATATATATGCATACATGCACAGGACCTAGCAAAACACGTAGGCTCCGTGACTGCCCTTCAGTCTCCACGAACCCTATGAGGCCTGCTTACTTGATTTTGTGGACCTTGTTCTCATGGTAGCCTTACTCCTCTGGCTCCTACAATCCTTTCTCCCCATCTTCTGCAGGGTTCCCCAAGATCTGCCTAATATTTGGCTGTGGATCTCTGCAATTGCATCTGCCTCTCTGGTGACTAGGCACCCATCTATAAGTATAGCAAAATATTAAGAGTAACTTCATTGACATTTTTCGCCAGTCCTGTTTGGTTCTACCATAGGTCTCTGGGCCATCCAGCTTCTGGTTCCTGCTATCCAGGCAGTGTTGGGCAACGGCTTCTTCTTGTGGCTAGGATCAGAATTGATTGGCCACTCCCATAAGCTCTGAGCCAGAATTTTGACTTTTGTTTCTGTTTTTTGTTTTGTTTTTTACTTAACATTCTTTTAACAAATCTTCCCGAGTCCATCATAAAAATGTTTTTCGCCATTCTTTCGTAGCTACACTCAGCATCCTGTGCCGCCTCGTATGCAGCGGTTTCTATACAACACCAGTTACTAACACGTGAGTTAGTTTACTTAGTTGCTCACCTGTGCTTGATTTATATGATTTTGGAAATTTTACAGTTGCAAATAATACTGTAGTGGTAATTAGCCTAGTGGAAATTCATTTTCTTTGGTTTGTCTAGGAATAATTAACAACCTAAGGTATGAGCAGCCAGTGAAATTAGGAGACAGAATATAACACAGTCGGTACCACAAAATATTTATGAAGTAGTTTGGCAAATTCTACAATATCCACTGATAAAACTCCCCTCATACTCATGCCAGATATACCATGATAACTTAGGACTTTGTGGAAATAAGAGGAATTACTCTTGTATGCTTGTCATCTTATTAGAAATTTGAACCCTGATATTTCACAGATTGTTTTCCTTTATATTGAAGAGACTAAATGCATCTCTTTATGTAGTACATTTTGCAGTACCAGATAAAACCACATACATTTGTATCAAGAGTCCTTGTCAGAAGCCCAGGTACAAGTAAAGAGAGCAAAAACTTCTGAAGATGCGAGACTCAGTGAGTAGAATGAGCATAAATAAATAGCTTGACATCAAAACCAACAGGAGGCCACTTCTCTATGCCCCGGATTCTATGTGAGCATGTTTCATGGACAATTCATGCTCTTGTTCTGTAGAACAAGAGACAGTAGTCAAAATTAATAAAACAGGCAAAATGGGGAGAGAAAAACCAACAGTGATCAGTGGTTTCTGGGAGCTGTTTTCCCGGCAGGAGCTGCTAAGAAAGACTGTCACATACTCATGGGTCCTGTGCTCAGCTTTCCCTGTCTCCCAGTGGGTGAGAAGTCTGAGTGTTCAGAAATTCCCTGACACATATTTTTTCTTTCTCCTTAGCAGTTCCTTTAGAATATCAGAAAAAAGATGCACCTATGGACAATCTACTCCTTGAGAAGAAACTTCTTATAACCAGAAACCAGTCTCAAAACAGGAAATATGTCCCTTCTCGGGATGATATTACACTTCTTTTACATTATTTTCTATTAAACTCGAAAGACCTGCCTTTGGGTTTGTGAATAGGCCTGCAGCCATATGTTTCTTTGGACTATTACATGCACCCACTTCTGAATCTTCTGATAATTAGATGTCTCTTGTAATTATCTGCTGGTTTGCCTGTGGTCAGTGCCCATTTTCTACGTGTCTGTTTCATATTGTACTAACTGCTCTGAGCTTATGATGCTGTAGTCTTTATGTATAAACATATTTCAAAACTTCATATTGTTCTACTAAAGAACACTCATCATTTTGATAGTTTTCTTCATTTCCCTTAATAACTGACTCATCTGCTATAATGTGACTCAGCACACCTTCTTCTGGTTAGTTTCTGAACAACTTTCACATCTCTATGGCTTTAATTTTCTTCTGTTTCATGATTCCAGTGGTCTCTTAGACAAAACTTGGTACTGTTTGTGTGTGTGCATTTTTTACGTATTCTGATACTAAT